TTTTTTTTTTAGAGTGGGCTCGGATAGCAGTAACGTTACCAGGCCGAACAGGTGATCATTGCAAAAGTCGTTTTAGGTCACTAATGATCTCAAAAGTTAAGGTTTGTTTCTGTGACATAATTTTATTTTTGGGCGAAGCTTTTTCTCATAGGATGTTCAGTCGTTTTCTAACTCCTTTCATCTATTTTTATTTTACGTCATTATTATAGTACTACATGAAGAGCTTTCTAAGCCAGTCATCTGGTTCAACAAAAATTTATTTCTGTTTCACGAATACACCATTTCCCAATTTGACTTTCAGTTATGTAGTCAGTCATATGACGATACTCCAGTAAAGATGATTCGCAGGCATGACACGACTAAGCACAGACGGGAACGACGAAAAGCGGTACGTCGTTTTCTATATATTCTACGCGACAACTGCTTAGAAAGAAAGATTTGGTTATCTGTTAGAAGGATTTTTTTTGCTTTCGTTTTTGCTTCTCGTCCTTTTTTTCAGTTCTGTATAGTGATACAATGAAATTTCCAAGATGCTCAAATTTTATTAGAAAGAATACGAAAGTTGAAAAAGAGTACAGTTATGGATTCTCAGTTCTTTTCCATTTTACTGATGAAGGCTAAGAATGGCTTTCTTTGTTTTGGTAATTTTTTTATTAACATTGCTTACCTAAATTTGTTTAAGGTTGAAAAACATTTTAAAGAACTACTGGCAGCTGACGGGCAAGATGAAGTCGCCCAGAAGTTAACAGAGCTTTTTAAAACGGTATAAATAAAATTTTGAAAAGTTTCTTAGACTGATTTGAATCATTATTCAGTTTACGTATATATTTCTCAACTTAATCTGACACTTTTTTGTTGGCATGATAGAGCTGGGGGACTAACATTTCCAGATTCTTCCTGCACGCTTTTCTCCTACAGTCAGTAGGATTGCTCTTTTCTTAATTATCAAATTTCGGCACTTTAGGAATCTTTAAGCGTGCATGACGTTGCCGCGTTAGCTGATATACCACCGGAGCAACGGAAAATACTTCTTGAATTGATGCAGAAGAGTCACATAAAAAACGTTGGGGAGAGCAGTAAGCCAGATGTTGCTGCGGCCACGAAAATGTTGTATAATCTACTACATGAAAATTTGAGCGTCAGGCCTGAGTAAGTTATTTGGGATTTGAATAATATTCCTTTTATTTTAAAAAATTTGTTTTAACTTAGATTTTGAAAGTTAGATGAGTTTTTTGTCTGCAATTCTCATTCTGTTACTTTTACTGTTGGTACTTTTCAAAAGTATTCTCTTAAAAGATTGAAATTGACTTTGAGAATTATTTTCTGGGTAGAGCAGTTAAAAGCAGTTTGGAACGGTTTTCCTTTTATTTTCTGTTCAATTATCAAAATAGTTTGGAGGGTAGGTTTCTTTTTGTTGGCACACTATGCGTATTCACTGTTGTGGTTTAGCTGCCCTGCACTTCTCTTTTTACTTCAGTTCAGGAAACTGGGAGTTTGAGGAGTTTGATTGAGTGCTTGACTATGGTTGTTTTTTTTTTTTCGCTTAAACTACAGTCGTTGAGTCATTTGAGAAGATATTTTGCTTAAAAACTTGTTTTATATTCTAGGTTCCTGGATAATGCAACTCGGACAGTTTTGTACCGAATGTATGAAAAAACCTGTCTAAGCAAAGTTACGGGTAGGCGACCAAAAGTATTACTGTCCAACAGGGAAAAAAACGCGTTTTTGGAGGGTTTTGAAAGTTTAAGAACGGAGGAGGTTTGTCCTCCCTTTTTTACTTGAGTCACTTTGCTTTTTAATTCCGAAGTAATTAAGCGGAAACATTTCCAATGCGCTAGCAAAAAAAAAACCAGCCGCCGAGAGTTTTATGCGGAACATCAAATTTGGCACTTTTACTTTCCTCTTTAAATCGCTTTATTTTGAGGACACAATATTTTTAGGACAAAAAAGAATTTTTAATGCAGCACTTGGTTGAATTAATGGCAAAAAGCGATAACGCCGATCAGTGTGCGTTACAGCAGCAGGTCACTAAGAACCAATGCGTTTTTGATCTCAAGTATCATCTTAAGGAAGTAAGAGTGAATCACATTCTTATTCAAAAGTAATTACTTAGTTATTTAGCTCTTTGAAAGTCTGGAATTCTATCGCTGAATGAGCTGAATTCAGTGTCAGAAGTATACACTTTATTGGATTTTACTGATAGGCATGATATTAACATTTTTATTTCTACAGTTTACTTTGTAGAAATTTGTCTCAAATGAGGGTCTTCTTTTCGGGTTTTTTTTATTTTTGAGGGTAACGCCTAGCTTATAGGAACTGATTAAAGAAGTTGGACGATGTTTGGAGGTCGGTGTTACAGGCAGCAGCGAAGAGGCGAGATTAAAGCTGAATCCACTTCCTCCTTTCGCTGCATCGATTAAAATTCTGAGCAAATTGAAGGTAAAGGTATTTTCACTTTGTTAGGAATTTTTGTTTGATATTTTAAAAATTGTAGGGTATGCTCCCAACTTTACGGAGCCGAGCCGCTTGGTCATTTAATAAAGTGGAAGAAGTAAGCGATAAATTGGAAGGAATCAAGGACCGAATGGAGGAAGAAGTAAGGAACCATCAACCAAAGCTCTTGATTTATTTTTCTAGTTGGATCTTCATTTTTAATAAGTGGAAAATTCTTTGAAAAAAATGACTGCTTCTGTATATTGTATATGTCCTGTGGACTGCTGTGAATTAATCATAAACGCTTTGTTTCGTTCTAGGATAGCAATGAGGTACATCTGCAGTTGTCAGAAGAAATAAAAAAATGTCCGCAGTATATTGCTTTTAAGGTTAGTCTTCAATAAAAGATATTTGTATTTGAACTTCAAACATTTCATAGGGCTAGAAGTAATAAATAATTTCACCATTTATGACTGGATGTCGTGTCCGATATAATAAATAATTTGTTTTTCTTTACTTGTAACGGAGTATATCATTATTTCAGATGAAGGTTCGAAGTTTATTATTTTGGCCGTTACTCATGGATCGCGCTATTGAGCCAGAAGCAGATGTCGCAGAACGGCATAAGTTACGTGAAATTAGGACTGCAGTTGAGGTGAAAGAGGCTGAGGCTGGTGATGTGTCTGGAAGTGCGGAAGTTTTGTCGAAAATACGGTCTAGTGCATCGGATTCGTCGTTAACTATAAAGGATTTATTACACTTGCGTCGAAAAAATCGCTATCATGTTAGTGCAAATAATTTGTATTGAGAAATAAACGTAATCGTATGCTGGTTTTCGTTCCGGTTTATCTAGAAACCTTCCCAGCGCCAGAGTATGGGAGAGTGTTTTTTTTTTAAATTTGCTGAAATCAGTTTTGAATTTTCAGATGGCTCTTACTAATCAGTTATTTCGTACAAAAGCAGATTATTCTACAGAACACCGCAAAAGATTGCGCAGAACTGTCGACTTGCCGAAGGTTACTATTTCATCTTTCCTTTCATTTTTTTAAGGAAGGGGTAAATTCCGTGGAAGATTTTGGAAGACCAATGAATTTCATAAGTAGTGGTCTAAGTAGTGCTGATGAAAACATCTAATTGGTCTAGCTGCTAAAGTAGTACTTCAAGAAGCATAAGACATTGGCTTTAAACTCACCTGAGGTTTAAGCTGAATTCTTTCTTGATGAGGACCTGGTCATTTTTTCATTTCTATAAATTTTCTTGTTTTTCAGTCTATTCGAATTTTTTATTTATTAGTAAATTCTTGGTTTATATTAAAATTTGCAGAATCAACCACCTCAGCTATCGGAGGATACTAGCCTGAACGTTCATGTGAGACCGGAGTCAGAAAGGCTTGCAATGATTGACGAATGTATTGCTTCAGTTTGTCAAAAAGTTGCTACTGAACCTCTCGATGATTTATTATTGGATTTAGACAATTCACCTAAGTGTAGGTTCTATTACAAGTGATTTTGATCAGTAATCTTTTTTTTCCTTCACATGTAGCTGTGCCTTTCTGGATACACTGCATTGTTAGCGTTTTGGTACATAAGTTTTTCACAGATGGTTTGAAACTTTTTGTGGGAACTCTGGAAATATAAAAGATGTAACTATTTACTAAACCGTTTAAGGTGATGATGATGAGGATGAAGAAGTGATTGGTGATGCAATTGATGATTCAGAAACCGTTGTTAAGACCAGTTTGCGGGGTAGGAAACGCCGCACTCGATAAAGATGATTAATTTAAGATTAGCTGACTGCACTGTTGCGTTAGCATTCGATACTTTTTTATCTTTTAAAATTTGTTTTCTGTTGTGTGCCTCCTGTTCGTAAAGGTTCAGTTTTTTTGCCTTTTGAGTCGTTTCAAAGTAAAGATTGCTTATTTCCTACCGCCAGAATGGAATGAGTATTTTATGAAGTAGTGGGATGTCTGAACTAGCTTAAAACTTATAATATAGGTTCATTTAGAAATGAGCTTCTTGTTTACAACTTTGTTTATCATCTAGAGTCGCTCTAGAAACGTATGCATAATTGTGACTTTGCCAACTTATATTTTAGACATAGTCCTCAAGTTGTGATGTCTATAAGTTATCACATTTGTCATAGGCGTAAGGTGACTTGACTCCAAAGTACATCATGTGCTGTATTCCTGTATAGTAGAACAATGAATTGCTGCAACTACAGTCTTCGGATGATAGGCAAACTTTGTACTGGCTCTCGTTCCTCATAGATTCTTCGTACCATACCTGGAATTTTCCTGTGTGATCGAAAACAAATCTTTCAATTACAAGTTGTATTATTGTAAACGAAGTGATTTCCAAAGGTAATTCTCTTTCAAAGTTTGGAACAAGTGTTGCTTGTTCCGGTTTTTCTCGGTCTTCATACATATATATGAACCATTCCACGTCAAATCGCACACTTTTTTCCGTTCATATCTCAGATTTTCTTTAAATTTTGCTCATTAGTAAAGTCCAGGCGATCATAGAGAAAGCAGCAAAAAAACCTGGAAAAGTAGATTCCCCGCCAAGTTACATCTCCTCAAAGTGGCAAAATTTGCCAGGTTGTAACAGACATTAAAAAAAAACGAAGTTCTAGATTTTTTAGAAAAAACATGTTTTGTGCAGAATTTTTTTCTCTACAAAATACCAAAATTTGGAGATGGTGATTTTTTGTTTTCGGGAGCTACGAGCTGGAATAGGATGTAAAACTGAAAAAA